CTACAGTGGCGAGTGCTGGCACACATTCCGCGCAACTGCCAACACCAGCATACAGCCGAGCGGGCTCACAAGAGTCTACACATAGTGATAGTGCTATCCCAGCAGCAGTCTCGGCAAGCAGCTGTTCGCCCGCACTGCACACTTCCAGCGCGGCCTCCAGTTCATCGTCAACACCAGGACGACAGCGACGAAAGCTGTTCATTTTGAACTCACCAACGCGACATTTACTGCACCAACAGCCGTCACATAAGCAGCAGCATCAACAGCAGCAGTCACATGCAGCTACAGACGCCACAGCTGTTTGCAAGCCCACACCAAGTACTTTCGCTTCCAGTGGCAGTAGCTTCATAAAGAGTCTCAACCCCTTCCTCCCCGCCGCCAGCGGAAGTGCTTCAAACAATAGCGATGGCATAGGCACAACAAGCGCAGCAACAACGACGGCCACAACATCGCCTGCAGCCGTAATGGGCGCGGCAACGAAGCGGGTACCGTTAAAGCAATCGGCCGTGACATCTCCAATCGCGGTGCCGCAGGATTTGAATGCGAAACGCGAGGAATTCTTGCGTGCCACAATGAAGATTTGCTTGGTCGTCTCGCCGCCAACCAGTAAATTGCAGGTAAATGCCACTGAAGCGATTATCAAGAAAGTAGTAAAAATAAAATAGCATACAAATGTGCGTGGAGTGCATGTTCCCTAGGTTTGTAAATATAGATGTTTAATACTTAACTAGTGGCTATATACATACATATATCCTTTGTTTGCACTTTTTGTTTTTGATCCCAATAAAAATTATTTATGTATAACTTTAATTTGAACTTTTATTTTTTATTAGTTTGTTTTATTTTTGTAAAGGAAATATTTTTTCTACTTATTTAAAGCGTGGGATAATGTACATAAATATAACAAGCGTTGACAATAATTCGATATAGAAACCATCTCTAGGTGAGAGGTAACAATTGTCTACCGTATACACAGCTTCTAGAGTACCTGATAGAGAAAAGTTGAGATTTCTCTATTTTGACTCTAGCTAGAGTGAATATCTCCACGAATTGCTCTACCGTGTAAACTTAATTGAAAGAGGAGATTTGTATCTCAGTAAAACTCTAACGTGATTTCCCTACACTTAGCTTAAGAGAGAGGTCTCATCTCATCTCAGGGGTCTGAGCTACTATGAAAGTATTTTTTAATTCCAGTATATTAGACAGAATAATCTCTGAATCAATATCTGGATACAGTTTCATTTATAAAAACGTCTTCAAAAAATGCAAAAAACTATTAGTTTAATTTCAAAAATATATTTCAAATATTCTTTGGTGAAAAGAACAACGTCATATCAATATTCCATACACATTTAGTTAGCATAAACTCGTTTAATTAAGTTGTTTGCTTTCATACATAACTACCAGAAAAATGTCCGTGAGCATAACCGTAACTGTTTCCATGGTGTGAGACCTGTGGATGTTGAGCATGCCCGATGCGTTTTACAACAGCGTTGAAGCCATTGTGATCGTCAGCCGTATATTCTACAACGCGCGTAGTACCATCAGCTTCTGCCAGAGTATAGCCACCTATGTAGTAATGTAATGGACATAAGAGTGTTTATGATTTTGCTGTATGAAATTGATTTGATTTAGGACTCACCCTTGACATGATCACCATCACGATGCTCCCATTGACTCTTGTGATCGCCGGTGTGTGCGTCCTTTACACCATAATCGTATGCGTATTTAGGATAATGATGTGGTTCATGGTGTTCGTAGTGATGATCGTGCTGATCGTAACCATGGCCGTGACCAGCATATGGTGCATAAGCGTCGTGACTAACATGGTCATGAATATTATGTTGCACTATCGAAGCATAACTCGAGGCATGACCATGCGGAAGATATCCTGCAAAGGCAACTCCAAAAAATGCTACTACGATGACGGCGATGCACGAAGGGATTTGCATATTGTTTTATTTTTAATGATTTAACGTATACTTTTTCACTCTACGCTACTGGAGAACAATGCTGAACTGATGCCAACTGGCTTTCTATGAATTCTATTTATACTAAACCGAGATGGAAAATGCCGATAAATAGCAAAAACTTATTTATTTACTGTTGTTGCAAAATATAGATTTAGCTATTCGCCAATCACTCAAAACCGAACATTAAGATTTCGTATATTATATGAAATATTGATTAAAGTTGACCGACGTTTTTTTTTTTTTTGTTGAATACTTCGCCCAAATGCTATAAGTTATTATATTTAATTTGTGTATGTATATATGAACATAATTAACAAAGTCATTGCACAGTGGTGGGCCCAAGCAACTTGAAGAATCGAAATATTATAAAAGCAAAAACAAAAACAACAACAATACCATGTGTGAACGTACATGGCGTTGATCGCTTAATTAAAGTGCAGTAATATGCATATGCTGTTTGTAGCACGTACATACATACATATGTACATGCATACACATGTGTTTACTATGATAAACAATTTGTTGGTAATTGCTGTCAAAAACTGGGCTGGGCGTGTGTCTGTATAAATTTTATTTAGTAGCAGGTATGAACGAATTCTGTAGAAACTGAGCTTTCATTTTAGTTTATGGGCATTTACTGCGTTAAAACTTTTGACAAGAATTTGAATGTAAAATTAATGCTCCAATTTGAAAAGGTTTTAGTGTTTCGCTATGGAATAAATTCAACTGCTCTTGTAGAACGTAATAACTGTAAAGATCAATCATATGTATAAGGAATAGAGTATAAATATAAACTGTAGACAGCTGATTGGTATCAGTTTAACATTGACCTCCAGCCCAGTCTCACTAGTCAGTGGAGCAAAAAGAACAAGTAAATACTTTAATCTCAACTAAAATGCAGAACCTTGCGTGTCTCATCGTCATCGCTGTAGTCCTCTTCGGAGTTGCATGCGCCGGGTATGCTCCATACGGTCATGCTACCAGTTATACCTCAGTAGTACATGACACTCACGAGCATGGCAGCCACGCCAATTTTGCACCCTTTTCTGGTCACAATCATGGTTACGATCAGCACGATTATCATGACTACGTACAGCATGAACCACATCATTATCCTAAATACGCATTCGATTATGGTGTAAAGGACGCACACACCGGCGATCACAAGAGTCAATGGGAGCATCGGGATGGTGATCATGTCAAAGGTGAGTCCTAAATCAAATCAATTTCATATAGCAAATTCAAAAACACTCGTATGTCCATTACATTACTACATAGGTGGCTATACTCTGGCAGAAGCTGATGGTACTACGCGCGTTGTAGAATATACGGCTGACGATCACAATGGCTTCACCGCTGTTGTAAAACGCATCGGACACGCTCATCATCCACAGGTGTACCACCATGGAAACAGTTATGGCTATGATCATTGATTTTTGCTGGTAGCTAGGTTGAAGTCAAACAACTCCAGTGAAGGAAACTATTAAGAATTTGACAAATCTCGCGTTTCACCGAAAAATTTTATTGTCATGAATTAAATAAATGTTCTTCTTTTGGGATGATCTCCTCTTGATGTAGTAAAAGTATTTTAGCTAATTTAATTGTAGCAAAATAAACATTAAGAAACAAAACAGCGCAGTTATAAATCTTAATTTCCTCTCTAAGATACACTGTAGTTTGGTACACAAATCTTCTCTTTTATTGGCTTCTTTTATGCCACAGGTTACAGTTAGTGATTTGTTACATTTTGAAATTTTTTAAATTTTTCAGCTCAGACTTTGAAATTTCACTAAAAAATCTGAAATTTTTTTGTCCCAAAATATATGTATGTACGTATCTGGTATTCCTGGAAAGGTTTTTTAGCCGTTATCAAGGTTATGGACCTAATTTTATTACAAAATTAATATTACGAAGTTAAAAATGGATCTTGCACTTAACGCATTTTCAACAAAATATTTATGTAAGTCAGAAGCGACATCAGCCTTTATTTAAGTCGAACTTGCTTTTTGAAACAGGTGGCAACTGTCCTACATATGTGTAATTAAGAAATATAGGCTTTTCAAAACCATTTCCATCGATACTCATAGTGAGATAATTGATTTCGCTTAAAAATAATTTGAATTTAACTTATTTGTCAGGTGGCAACTCTTTTTGAAAAAAATAAGAAGCTACTAGAGATCAGCTTATACATATTTATCCTCGCCTGAGCCATTCTTTTTTAAGTCACCTGTTAAAAAATTAAACTCAAATAACTTAATAAGTAAAAAAATTATAAATATGAAAAACAATTGAAATGGGTTTGAAAAGGCTTTACATTTAGGAGGGTTGCCATCTGTTTCAAAAATCAATTTCCATTTGAATTGAGGGAATTAGGTACGATATGTTAGGCAGACGAAAGATATTTGGAATAGGGTTGCCACCTGTTTTTAAAGTAGAATTTAGCTAAATTATAAAAAATCTACGTACATGAAATATTCAAATATTTGTTTCAAAGGTTGCGACATGGTATCTGTTATTTGATTATGATATGATATGATATGATTCCTTTTTATTAAATTCATTTGAATACTGAACCCTTGAACTCACTTTAAAGTTTCAGACACTTTTTTATATAAAAACAAATATTTTTGGCCCAAAAAGTAGCGGGTAGCGGGTTGTGGCCAATGGTAACCGTCAGTTACCACCTCTGCATGGTTGTAAGCCGCAAAAAACTCCGGAAACATTTCCCACAGGATGCATCAGACTAGGCCGAACATACTTTGAATTGCCATGAAATTATAACTTAAGAAAGTGTTATTATATGGCAATTGAGAAGTGCATATGCATGCATTTAGGCGCTTGGTGTTAGTATTCGTGCCTAAACACTTAATTTAAGCTAAGTTTGACAAGTTTTTACCAAAATAATTAGTTAAAATGAATTTGGTTTTTTAAAACATGGCAACCCTTCTGCCATTCCAATTGATATCCATGTTGTTAAAATCTAATTCATTTAACTTATTAAATAATTGTAACTAAATTTTTGAACAGGTGGCAGCCCTTTTCAAAAATAAAAAACTTTATAGCACATATACAGACCAAGCTTTGTAATTTGACACCTCACTTTTGAAAGAACCCAAATTTTCAACTTCAAACTGCATTTACAGTGAAAGTGTAAAAGTTATCAAAACGCAAATAGCATTTTTGAATTCAGCAAGAAACAAATGTTTATTTAAATCCGTCATAATTCTTTCTTTTTTTTTGTCCACGTTTGATATGGAAGGGAAGCACTAGCGTCGCCAGAGTTTTATAAGAACCGGAAACAGAAAGTAATCCTGAGAAACCACTATATTTTTCAGAAAATAAATAACAAATGGCACAAAATAATGATAAGTTATAGATAACAGTCCAATTTTAACGATTAATTTATTGTTTTTTCTTAAGAAAGATCCGGTTACAATATAGTTTAATTGATGGCATACCATTTTGGTTTAAAGCGGCATAGGTTTTCAAAGTATTCCCATTGACAGGTTTCTTTCACAAACTACATACATACATATATTTCTCTTAATCCTTCCCCTTTCCCTTTCTTATTTGTAAATTATTATTAATTTTCGCTGTTGTAGCGAACCAGCGTAAATCACTAAATTATTGTATCGAATAGTACTTACATACATATAACACGCACTCAAAGCCTGTGGTTGGACAGTAATTGAATGTCACCCATACGACAGGTAGTACAACATTTGGACACGCTGCGGCAGATTGTGAACGTTTCGTGCATGCATTGCTGAATGCTTATTTCACAAGCGTTGTTCGCGTATATACATATATATGAATACATATGTATGTATGTATGTAGTAAATCCACAGCACACATTCATACCATATCTACCGCATAACAAATATATGTATGTACAGATAATGACCATAAAATGTTAAATTCATTCAGGGGATTTGAGTGAGACCAACACTTTGTGCCTACATACATAAATGTTTGATTTAACAGGAAACGGATATCATTGCTTTAATCAGAATTGTAGATTTTGTGGCGTGGAAATAATTGTTGAAGCGTGTGTAATTTTAATAACTTGACTAAATTTGGCAAGTAAATGCATACATGTCGTCGTTTAAAGTACAAAACCGCGTACCAACATAATGTAAAACCGCGTATGTGTGGTTGCATAAATTATTTTTTAGAGAGTAAAAAAAATTCATATTTCAAAATGGTTCTCTTTTCTAAATCAATCGCATTTCTGACTCGTGTATTTTTTAGGATGAATGAATATGGATTTATCCAACAGCTTTTGTGAGCAAATCCAATTTTTAGCAGCAAATGTCAGTTAAGCGGTTTTGTATTTTAAACGACGATATGTATTTTGGAGAACAGATTTGTGAAGTGCTTAATGAGCCCGCTTTGTACCCGACAAATGTGTTTTAACACGAAATTTTTTTATGTACATCGAATAGGCCAGGCAATCAGTGAGGAGCACACTCAAATCTTAGTTTTTATTTATTTAATAAATATGATATGATTAACTAGTTAGCGAACCTAATCGTCAGACTCTTTTTATAATGTTAACAAACCATTAAATAAATATATGTATATAGATGTATGTAGGAGCACTTGCGTGAATAACATCGGAAGTAAACTTAAGGTGAACGCGAAGGTGAAAGTTGAAGCCACATTGCGGCGGGCGAGCTTTCCACTTGAACTCGGGCAGACCTCTTCACTAGTCAATTATATCAACATATCTACGGTGGCGGTCAAAAATGGATGAATGGTGTTTCGTTTTTAATATTTACAATATTTTTCAAGCTAAAATTTTTTTGATATTTTTTTATAAAAAAAAATATGGTTCATGCTTTGACCAAAACTATCACACTTTCAAACTTTATACAGAAATTAGAAAAATTCCTCAAATTTTTATCTAAGTTTCGAGATTTTTGACCAGAATTTTTATAAATT